ATGGTCGCCCTGAAAACGAGACCAAGTTGCGACAACGAGGTCAACCCACTTCTATCAATCGAAAGGAGACTGCGACCACACCAGAGGCTAAATATCTTGGTCTTCATATATTCAATTTCGTACAATGTTTCTTCGTTACCTATGGAAAAATGTGATCCATTTTTGGCCAGATTCATTGTTTCAGAATAAAAAAGGCTTGAGGATAAGATTACTACCTTATCTCTATCTTCGTCTTCAATATAGAACCATCAAGGTTTTTGCAGGTTTGCTTAATTCTGTGCTGTCTTTTCATCCCATTACTAAGCACTTTCTTGCCATGCCTCTAATCTATCAAATCTCGGATCATCTGTGACTTCTGGTAAGTCATATTCTCGAGTCTTTTAAAATCCTCCTGAGTGAAAACTATTCATAGAACCTTCCTAAATATAGACGTAACATCATGAACTTAATTAGATTACAGTGTTGGTTGGACCCCGTTTTCGCAACTTAATAGGAGCGTCGGGAAGACCTAGTGGAACGTACCTAGTCCTGTGTCCTCTGCCATAGTATTTGTGATTTCCAGCATTGGGCCATTGGCCGGGTACATTCTTAAACGTTTCGCAGGCATCAAAGTCGGCTTCGTCAATGAGAGACGCCATCGTGAGCACATTGTTACAACTTATTAAAGTGACACTGACATTCTTAGACGACATTGAAGGAAATGAGAGAAAGAGTTGTCGCACTAGAAGGTAGAACGAAAATAGGGGCGAAGAATGATGTCACAAAGGTTGAACAGAAAAGTGGTCAAGAAGATTGCCTTCACTTGTCACTTTGATTAGTTATAACTCTGTGCTTATGATGGCGCCCCTCACTAGCGATGCTAACGAAATGTCTGGGAATGTACCCAGCCAATGATCCAATGTTGGAAATGACTAATACTCTGGCAGAGGAGACGGGTCTAGTTACATTCCACAAGGTCTTCCTGAAACCCCGACTAAGTTGCGAAAACATGGTCGAACCCAAACTATAAAGCTAAAGGAAAATGCGACCAAACAGAAGGTCACACTATTTTGGTCCTCATATCTACGCTTCTCAATCTCGTAACTATCCCATAATTTCTGAATGGAGGCGTGAGAAGATATTTCATTAGTTATGTCCAAATGACATTACCGCATTAGATTGCACAGCCTGGGAGCAATACCATAATGTTCGCAACACTTAAAGTCATTATTGATTTTAAATTTTCTTATATGAGATGTAGTCATCCTATTTAGTTTAAGGTGATTAAGGACTGGCAGTTAAATTTTCCAACAATGATATGGCATTTCAAATAAATTTCGCATAGCCTTGTTTCCCAAAAAGTTGTTCTCATCCAGGTCAGACTGCAGTTTTGACCTCGCCTAGGCCTTATCAACACCCCCAGCGGGAGTTAAAACATGACAGTGCGGCGTGTAAGCTGGGCACGTTAGACACTCCGCCACATTGATACGAGTGCCCTTGGGTCACAGATGTTAATTTCAAGGAAGGCCAGGACACTTCCCATATCACATTCTTTGATAGGAGTGTCAATGAAGCAAAGTTATATTTGGGAAAGCAAGTCCGTGTGAAATTCATGGGAAACCTCAGTTCTACTCATTTTAGGAAAATTCAACTATCACCTTGAACGAAATAAGGTAAATAGACCTCATCTGATCGATCTATTGATAGTCTCGAAACTCCGTTTATAAACGAAAAATCAAAATTGTCTGATTTTTTCGGCTGTAATCGGTGCATAGTTTGGCAATCTTACTTCCGTAGTTTAATCGAAGTTATGAAGGCCAATATGATGTGACCTTTAGCAAGGTAGCAGGGTCCTTTCGTTTCTTAGAAGTTGTTTGACTTTATTTTCGCAAGTGTCATATTGTCAGAAAGACCTAGAGGAACTCAACTGGTCATTAGTTGATAATATGAATGATAATTTCCAGAGTCGGAAAGGCTCACTCACAATGCCGGCGAAACTTCTGGGAATATACCAAGTCTACGGTCGGACTGGGAAGTATCATGTATATTATGGACTCCGGACAAGGTGCGTTCCTCTAGATCTTCCAGCCAATATAACCAAGTAGTTAAAATAACGTCAAGCAACCGTTATATAAAAAAATGAGACCGCTAGCATTCTAAAAGCCACACAATCTTGATATTTATACATTTGACATACTCTTTCTTTGAATGAACCCTCTACATGCTGCTTACCTGCGGATTAATATTTTGTTCAATCAGTCTTATCGTTTCATATTCGATTCAAAACTTAATAAGGAACTAAAATTTGAAAAAATGCCAGTCCGTAAAAACCTTAAGCGAGCCCTTGGGCTTCAAGTTAGTAGTAAAGGCTTAATGATAGTTAAGAAAATTTTATTTTTTATGTATAAAGAAGCAATTCCAAGGTCCATTTTTTTAAACAAGAGATAAAACAATTAAGACAAAATAAAGCGCAAAAATGTATTTAATAGTTTAAATAAAATAGAGATAAATAAATTGTTTAGATTTTGTGTACGGCTATTGGAAAGAGAAATTTTAATAAAAGATGCTACAAAATTAATTTTTATTTGATTCTTGCATTATTCACATTTGACACGGTAGGCCTCGAGCTGCTGTATACCAGAGAGGGTGAATTCTTGGTGAGATTTGTTCTGCTATTGATAAAAATATTTTAAGAAAAGAGCCATTCTCTGATGAGCTTCAACCTAATATTAGGTCTGGAAGACTTTTTTAGAAATCATTTCTTATTATAAATTGGTCAATCTTCGTCTCAGACAAGGCCTGCCTCGGTATGGTTTACTACCTGTACATACACTTCCAAAGTGAATAGATGAGCCCGATATTAGAATAGGATGTGGCTATTCTATAATTAATATGTTATAACATGAGATAATATACTACGATTAAATAGACCCAGTAATTTTTTATCGATGCAGAAATAAATATTGAAAAATAATGATGCTCTTGAAATAAACATAAACTCTGTGCATAAATAAACAGGGCAGAGAAAATTAAGCTCTTATGCTATGTTGTGTTTGCGTTATTTAGCTTATAATGAGAAAGTCTGCTGATCAATTAAGAACAGAATAGCGAACTATTGAAAACCTTGTAAAGAGTAATAGTATTATAACTTCTTTGAAAATAGGTACAAGATTCTTTGGTCAGCGATCAGGCATCTAGAGATTTACGGCACGTCCACTGATGCTCGTAAGATATAAATCATTAAAAAAGTAGCTCTTAAGCTAAATAGTCGAAAAATGGTAAAAGTAAGAAAGAATCCGAAAGTTGATTAAAAATATTTACACCTAAGTACACATTGCTCAAACCACTGCGCAAAAGGGGATATGTGCATGTGGATGGATGTAAACCTCAGAACCTATATTCACTCTGAACCTGTGAGGGACGTGAGTGATCGAAAAAAAATAATAGAAGGATATAAGCGTAATATCAAAGGTATCTAAATATAATATTTCTAGCTCTCTATCGCATTCACTAGCTCGAAAGATATATACGGATGCAGGACTAATGAGTTACTTAATATTATGAAAGAAGACTAAACCTCTAAAGGTTTTATTATAGATAAATCAAGAAGTAATAAGATTAGATTAATATTAATCTTTATAGTCACTCTATGTCGCAAAAGGTTAGGAAGGGCTGTGGAGATCAAGCTAAGGCTAAAACTGAAAACAAGGACAAGTTAAATTTAATATCATTATAAGGTCTAGTTATCTAAGTGTGGAAAAATTTTAATATTTATCACTCATCAATTTATATGACCATGGGTTAAATCAGCTTTCACACAAGATCTACTGATAATATAAAACCTACAAGATATGGACTCAAAAAAAGTACACCGGAGGGTTCTTTTGAGCTTCTCGTTATATTTAAGTATTTTAAATAGCCTCTTGAATTGAAAATGCCCATCCACTATGATAAAAAGCCTGATTAAAGTTTTACTCAAGACAAAAAAGGCGATGCGATGTTCCCTCTCAGAGTGCAAATGTACATATGTTTATTGACTACTATGAGTCTTCAGTACCAATCTTCTCAGCTCAATTTATAAAGTCAGATAGAAATTTATGAGTCTCGTTCTTTAACCAAACGCTAAGAGATATTAACGCACAAAATGGAACAATTCAAGAATTAAAAAAAGCGTTCTTAAGACAAGATACAGGGATAACATATGTTTATAATTTTGCTTGAGAATGACAACTGTAAAATGAAGTTAATCAAAGATGACAATTTAGTTTTAAATTAAGAGTTTGGTTATATTAAAGAATCAGGTAATTTTATCATAAAATTAATTATTTATAGCACAAGTGGCTTAAGCCTTATTCCTTGGCTAGCGATCTAAGACCATTTATTATTTATAAAACATGAAAAAGTATATATATATATATATATAGTCTATACATTTAAAGTGAGTAAAAGCATTATAGTACTCATAAATATAAGCAAGGGTACCTTGTTATATTTCAAGCAGCGTTCCAAAAGTTCCTTGCTCAAATCAGTATTATCAGACTCCACATAAATATCAGAAAGAAGAAGCCAAGCCTTCTCCAGAAATTCTGCGTCCTGAGTAAATAAATCAAGAATATTTTTTTAAAGTGAGTATATTCTTAAATTCTATAAGTAAGTTTATAAACCCTTCAATGAGATTTCATTCCAGTTGGAAATGAATTGAAAGCTTTCTTCAGGCACCATCTCTTCTTCGAGTTATTTATAAATAATTGTGCGAATATACGATAATTGTTCCAAATTAGCCGTGTAAACAGGGCATTAAAGCTCTGGCACAATCTTAGGAAATGCTTAAGGGCGAAGCAGAATTTTATTTTCCCATAGAATGTATTATTTACTTAATTTACAATTTGAAAGTTTTTTCATATTTCGCGTGTAAGGTGGTTTAAACGAATAAGCACAGTTTTTTATTATTCTTGGTTATATAGGTCTCATATAGCAAGTAAGCTACTTTTAGCCGAAGAAGTGGGTTAGATCGGTAGAATTTGAGCACCCTCAAGTTGACTTTGCCATTTACAAGGAAATGAATGTCTGATTAAGAGGTCGGAAGTTTTAGCTGTAAGTTTAGATAAAGCGATCTAACGAACTAATAAATTTGGTAGATAGAATGATTATATGAGTTTGGATTTAAGGGACATTTGTTTGATTAATGTGATTCCACGAGCTGTGACATTCTGATACGTAATCTTACCAGTGAAAGAGACTGAGGCCTAGGAGTCTTGTATATAAAAAAATATTTTTAGTAGGTTAGAAGCAAAAATGATCAGTGTTAGCTGGACTTTGTGTTATTCTAGTTCAGAAAACTTGTTACCTAAGTAAGTTGAGAAGGATCAAAAGTTACTGGCCACAAGCGATAAGTAGAGAAGAAAAGGAAATCTTCTATGAAAGCGTGACACGTAGGGTAAAAAGAGTTAAAAGGAAATACTAGATTAAAAGTGGTTGACAGGTAGTAATTTGTTGAAGCTGAGATCCAAGCTCGAAATACTTGCCACTATATTCTTGATTAAAACTTGTGATTATCCATTAAAAGTTAAAGAAAACACACGATAAATCAAAGGAAAGGCAAAGGCCCGAAAGAAACTTTGAAATAAATGAACTCAACATAACTAAAATTGGGGACAGCGAATATAGTGTCAACAAAACTAGGATATAGTGGAAAGTTGAGAGAAGTTGCAGAGAGGGATAGAGATGGAAGTAGGTCCAGATTATAGCTGAGAGAAAAGAACGAGGGATCTTGGACTCAATAATAAAGATAAGTGACAAATATTTGCTTAGGTATGGGATTATTAGACAAAGTAAGTTAAATCGAGCGT